TATATATAGTTGGCATAAGACGGTTTCTGGCACTCAATCTTTTTTTTTTTTTTGAGAGAGAGGCTCATGTTGTCGCCCAAGCTGGAGTACAGTGGTGTGATCTCCCTGAGGTTCAAGCGAGTCACTTGCCTCAGCCTCCTGAATAGCTGGGATTATGGGCGCACACCACCATGCCCAGCTAATTTTTGTATTTTTAGTAGAGACAGAGTTTTACCATGTTATCCAGGCTGGTCTGTGGAACTTCTGACCCCAAGTGATCCGGCCACCTCGGCCTGCCAAAGTGCTGGGATTATAGGCACGAGCCACTGCGTCTGGCCTAACACTCAGTCTTAAACAGTCATTCTAGCTTCTCGTCCTGACCAAGTTTAATTTTAATTGTCTATAAATATGCACCATAAGGAAGGGTGTGTTTCTGAATAGGGAGGTAATTGCTTTTCCTGCTTGCAATTTTAATTAAAAATTACCTCTTCCACCTACCTCACCTGTTTAACAGATTGTAGAAAAGCAAGTTTATGCACTCATCCCTGAGTTCAGGAAGCACTACTTCCTCTTCAGTAACAAAGGTACAAGATTCCATATGGTGACCTATTTTTTCAAGAGTTTTATGCAGTAAATGATCAGGGAGGGGTGTGTCCCATGACATAATATGGGAGGAAATTTGTCAGAGTTCAACTGTGTTATTAAGGTATGTTGCCTGTGATCAACCTTTTACATTGAAGTTTACCACTGCTTCCAGTCCCATGTTTTGTGTTTTCGTTGTTTTTTTTTTTTTTCTTAAAGAGACAGGGTCTGTTTGTCACCCAGGCTAGAGGGCAGTGGCGCAATCATGGTTCACTGTAGCCTCCAGCTTCTGGATTTAAGTGATCCTCCTTCCTCAGCCTGGGATTACAGGTGTGTGTTCCCATGCCCGGCTAACTTTTGTTTTTATTTTTTGTAGAGACAGGGTGTCACTATGTTGGCCAGGCCCGTCTCAAGCTCCTGGCCTCAAACATTCTTCCCTCCTTGGCCTCTCAAAGCGCTGGTGTTATAGTAGATGTGAGCTACCGCATCCAGCTTAGTCCTTGTGTTTTTAGCACAGTTGACCCAAACTCCTGTAGACACAAGGTCACTCTGTCATCTGTGGGAGTATCAGAGGCAGGAGGGCTGGAATCTGGTTGAGAGAGGCAGCACAGATCTCCCTGGCTGGCTTTTCCAGAACGGCTACTGCCCAGCTTTAGCCCCGAATGGCTTTTGAACCATGGGTTCCAGCCAGTTCCCTCCTTCTTTGCGTAGCCTCTCCCTGAATGCACTTCCTGCCTGTCCTGATCCATTACCCTCCCTGTGGCCTGAGTAGCCTTCAAACACAGCTCTCCCCTATCCCCTCTGGGTAGCACTGTTGCCTGGCACTTGAGCCCCTGCCTTTTGGGCTCATTGTTCTTTCCTGAGCTGCTTCTTGAGTCCTGTTCTGTGGCAAGCTCTCTGGTAGGCACTGGGGATACAGTGAACAAATATCAGTGACTGACCTTAGAGGAAAGCATTAAAAAAACTAAAAAGAGGTGGTACGATTAATTTTGTTGATATTTTCTGTAACCTAAGATGTCTACAATATTGTTTTAACGTGACACTTAGCCACATTTCAAGTGCTCTGTAGACATGTGCTGGTAGCTGCTGTAGTGGACGGCGCAGGTCTAGAGGCAGAGCTGGACAAGTTCAAAAAGCAGTTCTGTGCATGTAGTAAGTCCTGGGCTCCTGTTTTCATTGTTAATTTGTGTTTTTCTAGGGGTTTATCTTTTGCAAGATTGTGAATTCCAAGAAGGCACAGGCATTGCCTTGTCCTGTTTTCCTCACCATTGTGTCAGTACTACCTTGCAGGTAGAAGGTGATCACGCCATTTTATCCGATGAAATGCTAAGCACAGGGCATTATGGGAAAAGCTAAGATGAGAACCTGCCACCCTGTCGTGGAGGTGGGGAGGCATCAGAGTCCTTCTCAGGAGGAGGAGACCCCTCTGAACCAATGAGTCGGGTCAAGAATGATATTCTCAGGAGAGAGGAGTGTGTGCACGTGCTGGGAAGACAGCAGGTGGAGGGGGAGCCACAGGTAGCTCGTTATGATGGAAGCTTGGGGTACATGTGAAAGTGGGGGAGAATGTCAGGCACTGACGCTGGAGAAGCAGGCAGAGCTCAGATGATCAGGTCTTTAAAGCTTGCTAAAGTTGTTATTCTGAGAACACTAGGAAGCCTTGTGTAGTGCCTGGGCTGGGACCTGCCCCTCAAGCCTTCCTGTGTCGTCTTTTTTTTTTTTGAGACAGAGTCTCACTGTGTTGCCCAGGCTGGAGTGCAGTGGCACGATCTTGGCTCACTGCAACCGCCATCTCCCAGCTTCAAGCAGTTCTTTTGCCTCAGCCTCCTGAGTAGCTGGGATTATAGGCACCCACCACCACACCCACCTAATTTTTGTATTTTTAGTAGAGACAGGGTTTCACCATGCTGGCTAGGCTGGTCTCGAACTCCTGACCTCAAGCGATCCGCCCGCCTCGACCTCTCAAAGTGTTGGAATTATAGGCGTGAGCCGCTGCGTGTGGCCTCTTTCTTCTTTATTCATGAGGTGTTTTCTCCCTTTACACTTCCTGGCCCATGGAAGATGCTTAGAATGGTGGCTGACTTCTAATGCTTCTGGAGAACCTGACAGGCTGGCATTGGTGTCTTCCACTGTCTGTGGGGAGGCTTAGAAAGAGGAGCGGCTTTTATTAATATTATGAGTGTGGATCAGATCCTGCTGTAGCCAATGGCAAAGCCTGGGCAGGCCCAGATTCTGCAAGAGTGCTAGGCTGCACGGTCCCAAATCAAGTGTGCTTTTCAAGAACGGCCCCTCACCTGGGATAGGGAACTTTGAGCTCTGAGGAGCACAGTGAGCTGACACCTCTGTGTGTGAGAGCTGTGCTCTCTGACCTGTGGTCTAAGCTTCGGGACCTGGTGTTTCTGGCACAGCCCTGAGCACAACCTCAGTCTGCCCACTGGTGCTGGCTGAGCCTGGCCTGGGCCCTGCAAGTCTGTGGCTGGCAGATTGGGGAGGAAAAGTGGTGAGACTGCATGAGAAAGAGAATTTAATTGTGATTTTCCTGAGTTATTTACCATTTCCAAATCCCCTTTTATATCTTGAAGGAAGGTAGGAATGGATCAGAGATGACCACTTGGGAAAATACGAGTTAACTCAATGTATGAAATCTCAACTCATCTTGTATCAGTGACTCTCTGCTCTTTAGTATGGCAGAAAGGAATGCCTTTTTTATTTAAATAAACATTTTTAGTTTTAGGTTCACAGCAAAAATGGATGGAAAATACAGAAACTTTCCAAATACCCCTGCCCCTTGACATGCATAGCCTTCTCCATTATTAACATCCTGCACTACAAGTGGTACGCTGGTGACCCTCAGTGAACTGACAAGGACACATCACTGTCACCTGTATCTTTACTTCACATTAGGGCTCACTCTTGTACATTCCAAGGGCTTGGACAAATGTGTAATGACATGATTATAACTTCTCTTTGTATTGCAGCCACTCCGTCAAATGTCTGGTGCCTTGTGATCATTTTTCCATTTAAAATTGTCAGCACTAATCATGTCTGTTTTTAGCATCCAATAAAATTATCATCGTGGCATTAGAACTAGGGCTTACGATTCTGCTATTGAAAACTGGTTCAAAAGGTGATTTCAGGAAGGCTGGAAGTCCGGAATCCATTGCTCTGAGGAGCTGTGCTGTGTTTCGGATGATAGGTCATTGCAGGTTTTTATGATCTAAACTCACTATGGGGTAATAATGAACACTCAATAGCAGTGGTTATTATGTGCCAGTAGCTGTAGGGCAGGGTGCTTCCTTTAGTTTTTATAGGATAGCCTGTGATTGGCATCACTATCCCAGTTCACAAACGTTCTCTCCCTCCAGTCACAAGTCACCCTTTGCTTTTCTATGTTGTTTAAGTGGGTTAAAAGGACTTTTTACCCAGCATGTTGGGAGACTGAGGCAGGTAGATCACCTGAGGTCAGGAGTTTGAGACCAGCCTGTCCTACTTGGTGAACCCCGTCTCTACTAAAAATGCAAAAATTAGCTGGGCGTGGTGGCGTACCCCTGTAATCCCAGCTGCTTGGGAGGCTGAGGCAGGAGAATTGCTTGAACCCAGGAGACAGAGGCTGCCGTAAGCCGAGATCCCGCCACTGCACTCTGGCCTGGGCGACAGAGCGAGACCCTGTCTCACAAAAAAAAAAAAGAAAAGAAAAGAAAAGAGGACTTCTTACCTTTGTATCTGTTGTGAAAGTCAAGGTGTAATTAAATTTCCAGGTGTGATTAGTCGTTGAACAAATACTGTTTGAGTGTCTCCTATGTGCTGGACATTGTGAGTGCCATAGACAACTGCCGTGTAGTAGCTGCTCTATAAATACTTGCTGAATATTATATATGTGAGTGCCTCTATCTAATTATTCAATCCTGCAAAGTGGGCATTGTTCCTGCTGGTTTCTGGAGAAGAAATCTGAGGCTTGGGAAGCAATAGGACCCGTCTTCTAACATAGCTTACAAGCTAATGATATTTGGATTTTTTAAAATCCAGAGTGGGGTTTTCTACACCTTGTTAGGGCTCTGTAGGGGGAAGGGGCGCAGGCACGGTGGGAGTCCCTGGCGGGCAGGCACATCCCGGAGCCTTGCTGGTAACCAGGGAGAACTGAGAGTTCGGCTGGGGTAACTCACTTCACTGCAGAGCGCGCCCAGCAGGTGCTGTGGGCAGGAGACAGCTCGCATGCTATAGGAGGAGGAGTTGGTTTTCAGTAATTGCAACAAACTTCTGCTTAGTGCCATTTGGAAACCAGTCTTCCACACCACACTGAGGGCTTGTCTCCCAGAAACAGGTGCAGACGGACCTGGCAGAGGCAAGCAGGGCCTTCAGAGTGGCACTCAACGTGGTGCTTGCTGCTAGTGTGGTCTCAGCACAAACACGGTTTAATGACGGTATTCTCTACGTTTCAGGCTTTGGACGTGGACCGGATGGTTCTTTACAAAATGAAGAAATCCGTGAAAGCAATCAACAGCTCTGGGCTGGGTGAGTATGCATCCTTCCCTAGGGGTTTCTGTGTGGAAAACATGGCATTTGAAGTCCTGGTACCATAATATTGATGACCATTAACAAATGAGCAGCCAGACTCCTTTTTCAGGGCATGCAGATCACAAGTACGTTTTGTTTTGCCAGTTGTCTGATTCAGGTGTGGGATGTCATCCCCCGTGCTGTCTGTCCCACGTTGCGCTTCCTGTTTTCTGGAGCACAGTCCTGTGTGTACCCACTTTGTCAGCCTGGCTGATGGGGACCTAGATTCATTCCTGCCTCTGTCATTTGGTTTTTGCTGTTAAGTGTGTCACAGTGCCCTTTCCGTTTCTCTCTTATCCAGTCTTGCCTTTTTTAGTGTAGGAAGAAAATGAATAAATAGACAAACATAAAGTAATATTTCATCTAGATTTACACATATATATATTTTAAACTCATGCAACTTTTGGCTTAAAGATGACAGGTAGGTCACCTGTGGCATATCTTCCCTTGTACAAATCCTGCGAGTGATAGAAAATATTTTTTAAAAGCCGTTAAGTGACTATATAGTTTCATTCAGCAACAAGAAGGTGGCAGCCTTGGGGGACTAGAAACTGAGGAGTCCCTGAGAGACTGAAACGGGGCTGATGGGTTGCTCAGGGGAGCTTGCCTGCTGCTCAGGTACAGATAGAGTTTGGGTGACAGGGTGGGAGGAGGAGGGACCTGGGGTCTGCTCCCGTGGAAGTACTCAGGTCCCTTCATCTATACTGTGTCCCCTCACCCTCATGGTGTCTTTCTTTAGTGAAAGGGGTGATTGGAGCAGGAGGACAGGAAGTGCCTTAGATGGTCGTGGTGTCAGGAGGGAAGGGAACAACCTGGAAGTACACATTCCACCTGCCCACCCCTTCCCCCCTCCCCCCACAGTTACAATAGGGCGGGCACAAGCTCTAGTTGCCGCTCTTGACTCTCCCCCCATGAGAGCTGTGCCAGCCACAATCGGGAAGAATCTAGCAGGAAATCCCAAGTGCAGGATGATGTTACAGTTGAGCATTGCCAAGTGTATTTAGGAACGAATTTAACAGAAGATGCACGGGAATCCTACATCAACAACTACAAAACGCTGCTGACCAAAAAGAAAGAAGACCTGCATGAGAAATATGTGATGCACGTGGGTTAGAAGAGTCACCACTGTTAGTGTCAGGCCTCCCCAAACTGATCTGAAGATTCACCCCAACCCCAGTCACAATTAGAGCAGGGGAAATTGACAGGCCTTTTCTAAAACTGATACAGAAAGTGGCCATCTGCCTCTAGCTTTTTTGCCTGGGTTAAGTGTGGGGCAGGGAGCAATAATGATAGTTTTGATTTTTTTGAACACTTACTATGTATCTTGTGCTTTCTGTACATTGTGCTAATCTTGTCAACAACTGATTCTCCTTATACAAATGAGGAACCTGCAGATCAGAGAGTTCAGAGTGTTCCCCAAGTGTCTGTGCAGCTGGAGCTCAGACCCTGATGGTCTTACTGCTGTGTCAGGGTTGTGTGCAGTGAGTGGCCCTCTCAGTTTCAAAGCCACCATGCCTTCAGTGTGTCTGTCACACGAGTGACATCTTGAAGACTTCAGTGAGTCGCTAAGAAATGGTACGCCCAGTTTCGTTGACAAGCACCAGATTTCGAAAAGTATCTAGGAAGATTTTTTTTTTTTGGGTACTGCGTTCACTTGGACTTTTTGAGTTTATAACTTGAGGGATATTTGATATTCTGGTCAGACTCAAAAAATGATTTTATAGTCATATGTTGAAAAGGCTGCCCTTATCAGAAATAAAAATGAAATAATCTGCTTCTTGTGCAAACACTGGCTGTGTAGCTGCTGCTAGTCTGGAGGAGGGACTTGTGTGACTCCCAAGGCTGGCCCAGCAGCTAGCGGTGCAGCTTATAAACAGACCTGCATTTGAAGGGAGAAGGCGCTAGTGCCCCAGTGTCAGGAAGCTGGCCTGCAAGAGTTTAACAGCACCTCTGTGTCATTTGCCTTGCTGACCCATATTACTGAGCGTGTACCACAAACCTCATTCCTATTTCTGCCCACCCCCCAGCGTTGTTTCCTAAAATGCAGCCCCACTGGTGTTACTTCTCTGCCTAAAACTCTACAGCGTTTTTTCATCACCCTCTTTGAAGTTGGTGGAAGTCAGTTCCAGAGCATGGGAGAGAGAAGGAAGGCCTCTTGTGGGCTTTAGGATTTTAAAGCAATTGGGATAAAGATGGTTCTCTTACTACAGAACCATGCAAAGATTTTAATGTGCTAGTAATGTGGATTGTGAGTGGTTATCGGCCTTAATCCTTTCCCAATTCATTTGTCTATGAAACTGTCCTGCCTCCCCTGATGACCCCACTGTGAGCCTCAGGTGAGTAAATGCTGCAGAACACCAGATGAGTTCCAAGCTCCTGTGCATTGTCTGGACTCAGGCCACCTGTCCCGACCCTCCCCAGCTGGACTCCTCTGTGCCCTTCTTTGAAATAACTTGCAGTTTTCCCCAGCGAGCCACGTTTTGTGCCTTCTTCCCTCTGCTCATGCTTTGCTGTTTGCTTAAAATAGCATTTGCCACTTTATGAAAGAACACTGACATTCCAAGGAAGTTGAGTTTGTTCAAAGTCACAAAGCTCTACGGTGACAGGGCTGGGATTTTAACGTAGCTCCTTGGGCTCATGTCCTTTCCGAGGCCCTGCACATAACAGCCTGGTGTGTGACCTTGGAGGGGGTCTCCTATTTTTGTCATCCTTTAGCCATCTATTATGTCATGCCAAGTTTGAGTTATTCTAAGGTCATGAGTCTGAGTCCTGAAAAGTCCTAAGTCCTAAAACCAGAGCCTGATCCTGAAATCTTTATTTCAGAACAAGCGTTGTCTACTGCGAAGAAGTCACCTGAGGAAACAAGATACTTTCTCCTGTCATGTTGCTGACATTGTTCACAGTGTCTTTGGAACTCTTTAGAACTGCTTTTAGTAGCACGTTCTTTTGCATATATTTAGCAGAGAAGTCTAAGGATAGATTAAATTTTTTTAGAACTAGATGTCAGAAATAAGTCAGGCATATTCAAGAACGGACTGAGTGCCGGCGACCACAGTTGGCTTAGGTGCCCTGTAACTACACAGACATGGGCTCTGAAGGCAGCTGGTTCCAAAGGAGAAGTCCCTGTAGTGTTTTGATCATGAGAATAAAGACCCAAGGCAATTCCTGTGTAGGAAGAGCACTCATTTTACGTATGATAGAAAGAACAGTGAGAATAAATTAGCACTTATGCTTCATACTGCCATATTCCCTTTCTTGTCTCATGTTTCTTAACTTCTTTGGGACCAGGATTTCCTCCACCTGCTTTCCTAATTTGTCACAGATTGGCCCCGTTTGACCCATCTCTGCCCCAGTGTCCCTCACTGCAGGCCGCTGGCCTGTCACTGCTTCCCGAGTGTGCGCCAGCTGTACTTCTGTGTCTTTGCACAGCTCCACCCGGTCTGCAAACGGGCTCCCCCATCCCAGTCACCTGGAGGGGACCTGCCCTTGCCTCCCCACCCATCTTCATCAAGACTTAGCCATCTTTGACTTCAGCATAACCCTCTTTGACTGTCTTGTAATAGATTCTTTTTTTGTGTGTGTGTGTTTTTTTGAGATGGCGCTTCTCTCTGTTGCCCAGGCTGGAGTGCAGTGGCGCGACCTCGGCTCACTGCAGCCTCTACCTCCTGGGTTCAAGTGATTCTCCTGCCTCAGCCTCCCGAGTAGCTGGGATTACAGGCATCTGCCACCACACCTGGCTAATTTTTGTAATTTTAATGGAGTTGGGGTTTCACCATGCTGGCTAGGCTGATCTCAAACTTCTGACCTCAAGTGATCTACCAGGCTCAGCCTCCCTGTAATAGTTATTGAGTTATTCTAAGGTCATGAGTCTAAGTCCTGAAAAGTCCTAAGTCCTAAAACCCGAGGTGTCTGTGCAGCTGGAGCTCAGACCCTCATGGTCTTACTGCTGTGTCAGCGTTGTGTGCAGTGAGTGGCCCTCTCTGTTTCAAAGCCACCATGCCTTTAGTGTGTCTGTCACACAAGTGACATCTAGAAGACTTCAGTGAGTCACTAAGAAATGGTATGCTGTTGTAACAAATTACCATAAAATGAGTTGGCTTAAAATGGCACAAAGTTACCTTTCAGTTCTGCCATGGGAAACCCAACATGGGTCTCACTGGGCTAAAGTGAAGGTGTCAACAGGGCTCCTTCCCTGAGGCTCTAAGGGAAATCAGTTTCCTTTTCCTGCTCCTAGAGGCCACCTGCATTCCTTAGCTCACAGCTCCCTTCCATCTTCAAAGCTGGTCATGGCCGGTGATGTCTTTCTCACACTGCATTGCTCTGACACTTAGTTGGCTCGGGCTGCTATAACAAAATACCATAGACTGGTGGGTTAAACAACAGAAATTTATTTTCTCACAGGCCCGGGGGCTGGGAAGTCCACGATCAGGGTGCCAGTGTGGTTGGGTTCTGGTGAGGGCTCTCCTCTCCTTCCTGGTTTGCAGACAGACGCCTTCTCCCTGTACCCTCACATGGTAGCGAGAGAAAGCAAGCTGTCCACTTTCTCCTCTTGTAAGGACCCTAATGCCATCAGGAGGGCCTCACCCACTTGACCTCATCTAAACCTAATTATTATGCTTCCCAATGGCCCCATCTCCAAACACCATTACCTTGGGGGTTAGGGCTTTAATATATGAATTTGGGGGAAGGGACGCAATTTAGTCCCATAGCAAACAGTGACTCTTCTGCCTCCCTCTTCTACATGTAAGGACCCTTGTGATGACATTGGCCTCACCCAGATAATCCTCCCCATCTCATGTTCAGCTGATTAGCAACTTTATTCCATCTACAATTTCAATTCCTCTTTGCCAAGTAGCATAACATACTCACAAGTTCCAGGGATTAGGAGGTGGGCATCTGGTGGTGGAGGAGATGTTATTCTCTCTACCACACCTCTCCTGAATTCTTAGGATTTGGAG